TATATATATATATATAGAGTTAAAATAATTGAAATTTTTTAGCCAACAGCCTAAAGCTCAAAATTATAGGCAAAAATAAAAAAAATTATGTCAGGTACGTGAGATTTATATCCTGTCCAGCCTCAGATGTTTGAAATTCCACGCTAATATCAAAAGTTCCAAAGAAATTTAAAACAAAAGTCCAACAAAGTAGTTGTTTTCCAGCCCAATAATTTAGGCATTTCACAAATCAGCCTCATCATTTAATCTGCGGCAAAGGCCAGCCACAGTCTGGTTGGCTGTTTTCACTGAGTCAAGTCTTTTTTGTATAATATATTGGGGCACGACACTATTCATTTGGTATTCACACGTCATAAGTAACACTTTAGTCATGAAAAATTTATCTGGCATTTACATACATAGCACATAATTTTTATGTATTTATAAATCTCACACCTATAAATCTCACACCTACTAAACTTTCACATTTACACACATATATCTCAAATCTTTAATACCACATCACAGAAATGAACTTATGGGAATCCAGACCCAATCAAGAAAAGCTAAAACAACAAGGGCATAAGATTTCATTCTCAAGATTCTTTCAATTCATTTTTCTATAAAGATGTATGGAACGATGTTCTTAGAGATCGGAGCACTATGAAGCAAACTTCGTGTTATTATATGAAGGCATATAATTTTTGCATTTCGAGCCTTATTGGAATAGTGAGCACCACACAATTCAACATGCACATCATCCATTACTCTTACGGGCATTTCCTTCATAAAGCAAAGCGGCCGAATTTGGTCAAATAAATTAAATATACAATTTTATTGATCATCTCTAAGTTGAAATTAATCTTCTTCCAAAATTAAGATAGCCAATGAAAGTTGATTGGGAGGATTTAATTTTTGTTTTCCAAATATGACCTAGTCATACATAGGAGATCAATTGAAAAATTAAACATTTTTTTTTTAAATGATAAAGAGGTGATCGTAAGAGTGCTAAAAAGAATCTAAATAAATTTTTACCATCAAGACGACATCTTAAAACAAGCTGGGGAATATTGTCGATCACACACAGCTCCTAACACGTATGCACCAAAACTAACAAATTTATGGCTATTTTCTTTATAATAAAATATATTTAACAATGAAAAGAGTTTCTCTAAGACTCAAGACTTGAAAAGAAATTCACCTTCTTGCTGCTTTCTTTCACATTTTCTTTTGTTTTTATTTATTTATTTATTTATTTTTACTGGAAGATTATTAAGATGACAAAAGATAAGCTAGAGAAAACATTTTCATATCGGTTGCCTCTCTCTTTCGTTAAGAAACCTGCTTTCTTTATTTTGATAGTATAATCTCAATTATATGAATATCTTTAAAGCTTAAGAGGGGGAAATTATGATAATGCTTTTTAACAGGTAAAATACTTATAAAAGGATGCCCTACTAAATTGAAAAACTAGCATGAAATGATCGTGTCATAGATCCACATCGCGACGTAATGCTTATTAGGGTAGACATGTGCAAATAGATAAAAAAATTAAACTTCTTAATGAACATTTCTTGATAAACTCTTCAAATGGAGTGACAAAATATCATACAAACTTGATTCATACATGGTATGAGAATAAAGAAAATTTCATTGGAGTGACATATTTCTCCTTATAGTTTATACTACTTATCCCTTTTTTTTTTATGTTAACCTCCTTTCAAGGACTAGATAGTTTTGCAGTCCTTTCCTTAAGAGCTTTGGCATTATGAATGTGACATTTAAAAGGAATAAGGATTAGTTGGAACACTGATAACTCGAGCTATATGAACATTTTCTCTATTTCATTTATCCAATAGGCCATAAATGTTAACAAGAAAATAAAGATTGATTCCCTAAAAGTTGGGCTTAATTATGAGGCCTTAATCACACTCTTTCTCATAGGAGCAATAAAAAACGGCCAATATACAAAATGAAAAGCAATTTGTCTCGTAGGTTTTATCCTAGCTTGCATCGTCCGAAGAGGGTGAATAACAAGGGTGCTTTAAGAGCTTTGTCCAAAATTATTGCCAAAACATTGCCCAGTCCATAAACAAACCAAATCATGCCGTTAAATATTGAGTTCATCATCATTAATCAATGTAGGATCAAAGTTTCATATTAAAAGCAATGGTACTCTTCATTTGTAATAGTCAATAAAATTTTCAAAATATCCAAGGTTCAATATATAACTAATAGCATTAATTGTTTAATCAACAAACTTCTATATTCAATCAGCTGCACATTGGCCAAGATTTTATCATTGATTGCTTCAAATATTAATTGAGATGATTAGGAATGTCGCTTATGAAAAATGTCTATTATATATGTTTATGACTCCATAAAAAAGAGAAAAACTTGAATCACCAATTAACCAGTAAGTACCATAGTAAGGGATAAACTTGTACCATCTTGTCTATTTGAAACAAGCTAAGAAGGGTCAATACCGAATAATATGATCTAACTTTATATGAAGAAAAAAATATTATCATATTTTTAAAATCATTTGAATACATTAACTATTAAACTATGTGGGTGGGTTGCTAAAAAATAAGGATGCTTGTTTGTCAACTATCCAATAATAAAATGAATATGACACTAAGCAAAAAGATGAGTGCACATATTTGTTAATAAAACAAATGAGACACCAATAAATTATTGGCCATCACTAGAGAGATGAACTATTCTTAATGGAATAACTTTATTTTATCCATTCTCTTGTTTGATACTCTTCAAAATCTCATAAAATTGTCTTTTTTTTCTTCTTCTTTGTTATATATAAACCTGTATGTGATAGGATTTGAGTACTTAGAGAAAATTTTCTGAATACTTAGGTATAACTTTTGAAAATATTAGTTTAGCATGGAATTAGTAAATATATATTTCTAAATAGTAATATATATTTGAAAATTGTCTGAATACTTAAATAAATTTTTTTTTCCGGACCATTAGATCAAAGCATATTAGATTACCTACTCGGCCCAAGCATTTGAAACCATCAGTTGTGCAAGTTTACTCCAACGGTCGACATGTGAAAAGCAGAAAATGAACTGATAAAAGCAAAATGATGCATGTGTTTCACAATAATACGGCAGCATTGCTCCTGGAGATTTTTTACTCTTTCGGATTGAACTTTGTTAGGGGTATTTACATACATAGCCCCCAATTCCTATGTATTTACATATCTAACTCCTCAATCTTATTTTTACATTTGAACTACCCAAATATTTCCTAACACAACAAAAACATCACTATTTAACTACAAAAAAGTGAAATGCAACATTTCATGCATAGGTAAGGTGGTATGTATGTAAAAATTGATGTTTAGGTGTTAGATATAAATACATAGGAATTGAGTGGAATGTAGGAATTGAGTGGAATGTATGTAAATATTCCTTTTTTTTTTCTAATATAAATTATTTATATATTGCAATTGATTCACCTTTGTAAGGACGTATTGATACATCTTAAACAAATTTCCAGATGTCTTCCAAGGTTAAGCAAAACAGCGTTGAATGTTTGAACTTGAATGAACTTTCTTTTCTTACTGTTTTAACTGGGCTTGTAACAGAGAAAAAGACATACCATATATTTAGAATTATTTGACAAATCAATATAGCTGTCTTACATCCCAACTAATTTTCTTCTCATAATAACCTATGAGAAATTTTACATTGAAAAGGGTCACCATGGCCAACCTCTGATTCTCTAAGAAATGGTAATGAAGGCTACACAAAAAGATTTAAAAAAATTTTGAAAAATAAGCTGAATGTGTAAATATATGTTTAGCGGTCATGCTGACTCGTCGGGTTAGCTAGTCATACTGACTTGCCTAATTGATGAGGCAAGTTGCTTAACAAGTTGGGTAAGTCAATCCTTGATGTATTGTTAATTGGGTTTAGTCAAATTCAGTTGACCAAGTTTGTCGAACTGTCTAACTAAGTCAATGCTTGATGTATTATTGTTAATTGAGTTAGACAAATTCAGTTGAGCAAGTTTGTCTAACTAGCTTGCCAAGCTGGTCAAACTCGGCATGCTTTCTCAGAATAAACAGGGTTTATTTTGATCTAGTCACGTTCATGGTCATTACCCATGGTTTAGATTGTGTTTGCATATACAACTTGAGACAAAAGAATTACAACATCAAATTTTAATTAATTTGAAACACTCCAAATCCTATAATTTCTCAATATGTATGCATTGTCCACTCGTCACTCTCCGTTGACCGTGTAAGTTCAAAATTTATTACATGCAGACTTTGTGTATAACAATATTGTACACATGATGTACAATAATGTACAAAAGAGTACAACACTGTACATTGTGCATGCAAACTCTGTATACAACAATGTTGTACATTGTTAACATATGTTGTACAACAATATTGTACATGAAAACCACATACATATGAACTCCGTATGTAATATTCTCTCCACTCCACCCCTTCGACATTGTGAGACTCATCAGAGTCCTCGAAAGATTACAATAAATGAGAGAGTATTTGATATACACCCTAATAAATAAAAAACGTACATTGATTTATTAGATTTACAAAAAGTCTTACAAATTTTACAATAAAAGCATTCAAATTACTCCTAGAAATATATTTATTTTCAGAAGGTTCACCCAAACAGCCCATAAAAAAATTTGTCTCGAAAGTGTTGGAGGTTCTGTAGCTAATTAAAGGTTGAGGGATGCTTAACAAACATACACTATAAATATAATGAAATTTGCTCGGTTGTGCTGTACAATTAGGCGGCCAAAATCTTGATTCAGAGCTCAATCATCACAAGTAAAGAGAACAGATGGAACTTTGTTAATCCTACCTGAAGTCTCGGAGAATAAATGGGGCTGCCTTTAGTAGCCGTTGGCTTCTCCACAATGGCATCAAGCTTCTACTTGCTCAGTGTGATCTTATGGTAGCTGTGAAAGTCGTTATTATAAAGCGATACCTGAAATTAGAGATATTTATGGGTTAGGTGAAGCATGAAAACATGGTTTTGTGAAATAAATGCTCTGAAATTTTGATGTAAGATGCCTAATTGTCATGCATTAAGATGAATTATAACGCATGCAAGTTTGAAATTTAGGAAATAAAACAAATATTTGAACTACAAGTCAGCTCTTCATAATGATCTTTTGGGAAAAATGAAATTTGTTCCAATAAATCCTGCTCTAAGATTTGTTGAAATATCAATTGTCAAAGAACTTGTTCACTAGACTTTATAGAGATCGTTCAGGCGAGGTGAATCTGCCACACTTGGTCTTCTACAATTTTTTGACAAAGTTTTAAACGAGACCAACTTCATCTAATTGTTTTACAAAGATCTTTTCTTTTTTTTTCATACTACGAACCCACGACAAATTCTGAAGCTTTTATATAATATTTTTACTCATTTTTACTCACAACTCCAACAACAACCAACAATTCACTAACTGAGAGATGAATCTTCCACTAAACTCCTACAAAATAATTGGTTATAAACTTTTTATGTAAAATTGAGTGAAATAATAAGTTTAAGTCCAATATCCAGGACTCCTTCAGCAAATAGTTATCTCTTTTAAATTTCTTCAACTTCCTATTCAGTTAAAAAGAAAACTCAATCACTGAAATCCAACTAGTGAAAATAATAATAATAAATTATTATTATTAGTATTATAGTCGTTGTAGTTGTTTCCTCTTTCATTTTGTCAAATCTTTGAAATAACTTGGCAATTACATGCAAATTTCAAACTCTATGTCCTATGCCTTTAGTATTCCTCTATAAGAGCTGATATAGGAAATAAATAAGAGAAATAAAGGCTAAAAATCAGTTACCTAATTAGGTAGCATATCAGATATCATAAATCCACATATCTTTTACATTTTTATAGATTTGAGGCTTGAATAGAGCTAACAAATATTGCAATAAAATTTCGGTAGACCTGATTTAAGAACATAAATCACAAAGCAGAATCTATACTTATTGGATTCAGAATTTCAGAGATTTGAGGATAGATCTTATAATGGGAAATAAATGTCCACAAATCTTAAGAATTTCTCAGATAAATGTAATTATTTATTAATCCTATTGGAACCTAACAGATCTTTAGAACTAATTAAAATATTTCTGCATTCTCCCCAATTACTTCGAACCAAACATACCCTTAAAGTTTGAGAAGATATGTATATCTCAAGTACAATCCTACTCTAGATATCCTACGCCAAACTTTCAAAACAATTGTTTCACAGTTTTAAGGATCATGAAGGAAACAAGAGACGATAGAAAGAAATGGAAGATCAAAGAAAGACAAACAGAAAGACAACCCTCAGAACACACTGCACAGCAAATAATCTCGCACAGCCCAAACAATGACAAACTTTAGGAATTTTATTTTTTAGAGAGATATCTCCAGAAATGTCCAGCTAAAGCTTCAATTAGTCAAAAATCCATAATATATATACAGCCTATAGTTTCCAAAAACAACGCTGATTGAATTATTTATCATTTGCTGCTTGTTCTGATCGCATTCTTATTGCCCGTTTGATTCCGCTAAAAAATTATTTATAAGTTCTCCGAAGAATTTACGCTCAAAATTTTCCCCATAATTCAAGTTTTAACTTCTGCAATGCCATGAGCAAAAGAACAAATTCTATATGCATTTAAGTTCGATTAAAGATGCAAAAAGATGGGTTTTTGCTTGCATCTTTCGTGACAAATTCATTAACAGAAGATCACCATGAAATCTAAGAGAACAAAACCTGCAAATTTAATAAACTCTGATAAAATAATTGATTAGTACTTACCGCTTCAACATCAATTTTATACACAACAAGCTTGCGTCTTTCCCTGCAGCTAGTCCTGTAGGCGACCACAACATGAGCCATAGCCAAAACCAGAGAAGTCAAAAATAGAGCCTCCACAATAGAGCCCTCCTTAAACCTAAACGAAGGATCGGGCCAAAACATGGCGACCGCTTTCACCAGCACGTACCCCGCCGATGCCCCAGCGCACACGCCGGTCACTGCCAAGTAAGGCTCCCAGCCGTTGCAGCACAAGTAAGAACCTGCATCACAAAACCCAAGGTTCCGTCAGCTGCATTTCATCAAACACCTTCCGTTCACCCCATTTCAGCCACACAACTTACAGAGAATGAGGAGGGATCTAGCTAAGGAAACAAGGGGCAGGTCGACGAGGGAACCCCGGAAGCGAAATGTTCTGATTTGAGATGCGAATGATGGAGCGGAGAAAGCCGGGCCGTTGACAGCGGCGAGGAGAGTGGAAGGGAGTAGGAGGTCGAGGAGGACGACGAGGAGGGGTGGAGCGCAGACGAGGAGGAGAGAAGCAAGCATGTTGGTGATGAAGAAGAGGGTTTTGGCCACTCTCCATGCGCGGCTCCATATGGTTTCGTTAGTCGAAGCCATGGAGCTTCGATTTGTCTGCGCAGAGGGAGAGCGGAGTTCGTCCTGGAGCTGGTGCGCATGGGGAGAAAAGAGAAGGCTTTTAGGGAGAGTGGAGGAGAGAGAGAGAAAGAGAGCGAGGTAAATGGGGGGAGCTGGCCGGCTGCAGAGGACTTCTGTATTTTACTAGAATTCAATATTATTATATTTTTGTTTTATTAATTTTGAAGACATAACGGTCCGAGCCGCATGGAAGTGTTCAGTTCAAAAAAGGATGATGGGCGGGTCATTCGGGTCATTCCGGGCCAGGCCGGCCATTTGACACGAAGAATTTGGGGCGGGCTGACTCGGAAAGCTATTTATAAGGGTTTTCTTTATTTTTAATAAATTTTATTTGCGAACGTTTCAAACCAAATATTTTAGAAATATACTGCTCTGAAATTTTTATTCTTATCGGGAATTAACATCTTAATTTATAATTTTATTTATATTTTATTCGGTCAATTATAATTATTATAATTTTAATTTATAGAAATTAACGAATTTTACATTTGGATCAATGGCATGAGCCCGAAAACTCTACCCATCCAACTTGGACGACAATTGGGCCACTTTCATGCATAAAAGCCTGATTTCATATAGGAGTATTATATCAAATCCAACTCCAAAAGATGTAGACTAGTTGTTAGAGAGAGAGAGAGAGAATGTTTTGGCACTAAAGAAAAAAAGATATGACATTTATGTCAGCATTAATTATTTAGGTAATATCATTGTAAGAGCTCATAAATTAAGGTGTATTTAAACTATTAAATTACTTCATGGTGGTGTATTCTCTAAATAAACCCAAACAAAAATAAGCTCGTATAAGCACTTATTAATCACTACTATTAAAAATGCCTCATAGTATCTACTATTGATGTCACTAAAAATATTTACATGGTCAAAAATGAATCGATGCATTTTAGATAATGTAACTTTTAAATTGAAAATCAGGTTCATCTGAGCTTTGTTTCAATGAATTTACAATTAAATTGAGCATCTTAACAATATAAGTCTAAACCTAATAAAAGTTAATCAATTTGAGACTAAATAAGCCAAGCTCAAGCACTTAAAGTATAACTCAAGGATTTGGAGCATTAATTGGAATGTCAAACCATCTTTGAATTTGGCATGCTTATAGCCAAATCAAGTCACTTGACCAGAAGAACTGAACGAGTTGATAACATTTACTTTGAGATTATTAAGACACTTAAATACTGAAATGACTATCAATGATCTAAAACATCAATGCCGACACTAAAATTACTAAAATGTCATACTAATAAATTATAAATAGATCATTCTTGACTAGAAGGGAAGAGCATTTCACTTTCGTAAAAAAAAAAAAATTAAAGTTAGGGATTACAAACAATCATCACCAACCACTGTTAAAGATTGTTATGGCCCAACTGATCAACATTTGGTGTTTAGCAATTATTGTTGTAATAACAGAAAGACAATCAAGTTTTAATATTTAGGTAATCTCATCTTCTCCAATTAGAGAGATGAGAGAAACTTCATAGCTTTCAACTATATAGTGAATTATTTTGGTTGGGCTAGGCTTCATGCATGTCTTATTCACTTTCAAAATTTTTCATATAAAATTTATTGTTCCTCCTCGTTAATTATTTCCTTTGTATATAAGCGAGTTAAATCTTCATAAAATACTAAGATGTTAATTTATCACTCTGCAGCCGCAAATTTTTTAGCACACAACACCTATATTTTTTTAAAAGATAAACAAAATTCAAATAATGATTATAATTTCTTGAGTAAATATAAGATTTTACTTAAATAATATTATAAAAATTATCTAATTATGAATATATATGTGATGCGTGCTAAAAAATTCGCGGCGGTAGAGTAATGAATTATCGTCTTAGCGTTGCACGAGGATTCAACATATACTCAAATGAAAATGAATCAAGCTGTGATAACACCAGAAGTTTTTACTTGGAAAACCTGTAAAGGGGAAAAACCATGGGGCCTGACCCAGTTGTAAAAATCTACTGTAAGTTGATGATAACAGATGCTCCTTGTCCCACAGACGGGAAAATATTACTAGTTTTCCAATTAACAACATCGACTGACAACGTCTAGTCAGCGGTGGCTGACGGAGGTCGGCGGTGATCGATGGTAGTTGACGACAATCGATGTCGGTCGGCGGTGGTCGACGGAGTTCAGCAGTGGTTGTCGACGGTCAGTGGTGGCCGACGGCGATCGACAATGGCGATGATGATCTTGGACTTGAGCTCTTTCTCAAAGCCTCAAGGTATATCTTAAGCCTCCTCCCCTCATGTGAGGGGTGAGGCTCTATTTATAGTGTTTTGAGTGCAATTAATGCAGGAATATGAACCATTTTGATCGGACGGATATGAGTCACTTTAATCAGGCAGCTCGGAGGGTTTTCTAGATCGAATGATATATGATGAATATTTGAGTGTATTAACAATGTCAAAATTGAGCAATCTTGGGCTCATTGGATTCATCTTGTCGAGACGCTCAATTCGACTATGAACTCGTTAGATTTGACATTCGTTTGACCTTTCAAATGCCTCCGAAAATCCTCCAAGAGTGGTTTGATGATTTGATTTGGGCTTGATTTGACTCGGATTAGACTGAATTTTGTATCATTAGGTCCGTCTCTTTGAGCCGATCAGTTTGACTATAAGTTTGCTGAAATCGGAGTTCCGGATGACTCTTAATAGAAGTTTGAATGTTTCTTTTTAAAAAATTGCGTCGAGATTCGTGTCGGATAATGAAAATTTGTTAGTTGCGTATCAGTTGCCCCAATATTTTCGGGCGAAAAAATTTTTCTTTTTTTCGTCCGAAAATATTAATATCCATAAACGTTTCATAGAGGGCATAAAAATTTTAAATATATATACTTTATTGCTATGGTATATAAATAAGAATAATCTTTATCCTTAATAAACTAGTAAACTGAGTCTAGCTCAGTTAGTATGCAGCTTTTTGCCGTTTGTAAGTGGTGGGGGTTCAAATCCCACCAAAACTAATATACAAAAAGTTTTTTACCAGGCCAAAACCTGACCCGCCACTCGATGGTCAGATCACATGTGACCCGGCGGGCAGAGCGAGACCCGACTGGCCGGGAGTCTGGAATTTGAAGTGGGTCACGGAGAGAGGGAAGCTGAAGAGAGCCCAAGCAGTAGGAATTAATTAATAATTAATTAAATTAAATTAAATTTTGAGAGCTTAAGCAGCTTTTAATTAATTAAAAGAATCCAAATCTGACTTCAGATTTTAAAGGGGAGCTGAAGAAGCAAGAATTAAATAAAAATGAACATTTAAATGTTCTTTTTTTTTTTAAATCCCATAATGTGAAGAGTTTTTTAAATTAATTTCTTTTAATTATCAGTTGTTTTAGTTTTAATTAATTTCAGTCATAGAGACAGAATTTAAAAGGTCAAAAATTGAAGGAATATAAAATGAAAAGTTTTTTTTTCTTTTTTTTTTAATAAATAACTATTTTTTTCAATGACTAATTAATTTTATCATGAATATGAGTTGTTTTTTCAGCCTATAAATAGACCAAGGAGATAAGAAAAAAGGTGTAGTCCCCATCCCTGCCTACAAGGTGATTCGGGATTTCCCAAAAGAAGAAAGTCGTCCCCGTCTAGCGTAGCAGATAAGCAACGGGATCTTTTTTCTCGTTGTGGCGAAGAGTTGCGGTGAAGTGTTGTGGCGAAGAGTTGCGGTGAAGTGTTGCGACGAAAAGTTGTGGCAAAATGTTACGGTGAAACGTCGCGGCTAAGAGTTATGAAACGTTGCGATGAAGAGTTGCGGCGAAGTGTTGCGGTGAAGAGTTGTAACAAAATTTTACAGCAAAATGTTACGATGAAGTGTTGCTGCGAAACGTTGCAGCTAAGAGTTGCGGCGAAACGTTGTGGCGAAATGTTGCGGCGAAACGTTGTGGCGAAATGTTGCGGCGAAACGTTGCGGTGAAGAGTTGCCACGAAACGTCGCGGCGGAGCGTTGCGACCACGCAACCCATTGTGGTGGAGCGTCGCATATTCCGAAGGAGATGCTCGTGCTGCTCTGACACGTTATGAAAGTGATGAAGAAATGATGTAGTTTTCTCACCTCGCCATGAGAGGGGAATTTTCATGCTTTATGTGGTGGTGATATCTAGAGACCCCTTAACGATCATCAGAAATACCGAAATTTTAGGAAAGCGATGACGACTCTAATTGAAGATGAACTGATTTGTTGTAGCCCTTATACATGTAGATGTTGGTATTTGTAGTTTTTTTATTCATCTAAAGTGACAATTGTAGATGATAACAATGTATTTTTTTGTTGTTTCCACGATTGTTGTAGCATCTTAATTGTGCAAAGTTCTTCTGAAGCTTGTAGCCTTATGAGGAATTTTTATTCACTTGTGTCTTCTGAGGCTGGTAGCCTTCTGAGGTCTTTGATGTACCTATAGGCCTTCTGAGGCTTGTAGCCTTCTGAGATCTTTGATGTACATGTGTCTTCTGAGGCTTGTAACCTTCTGAGGTGTTTGAGTGTACCTGTGCCTTATGAGGCTTGTAGCCTTCTAAGGACTTTGAGTGGAGACCCTGTCAACTAGTTGCTCTCATGGAGTCATTCTAGTGAGGATCATGTCCACAACTAGCTTCCCATCGAGACTTGCCTCTTGGGCTCGTCTTTCAGGGGTATGGTAGCTTCTCATTAAGTCTTGCCTCTTGGGCTTGAATTTTAGAAGTACCATATCTTCCCGTCGAGTCTTGTCTCTTGGGCTTGACTTTTAGGGGTATAGCTTCTCATCCTCAAGGGAATTTTCTACACAAAAATCTTTCGTTAGAAAATAAGAAAATTTTATTGAAATGATATTTTAAAGCAATATAAAAATGTTGCTAAAATAAAATTAAGAGTTTATAAGCCAGTCTTTTACTCAGATAATATGAGTTGGATATATACTTCTCATTCAATAACTCCAACAGTTCTCTTTTGGTTCCCCTCACATTGTTCCTGTAAATAGCGACCTAGGTGACCTTGTCATATTAGACGCTCAATTCTTCCTTTAATTGAAAACATCTTTTTGTTGAATGTCCTTTTGCACGGTGGAAATGACAATATTGAGACTGGTCTCCACCATCTGGATTTCTTAACGACTTTGGCCACTTGACACTCTTCATAATTGATTGTCATTAAGATGTTAACACGTGACATGTTGAGTGGCGTGTATTCTTTTTCTGATCGTTGCTCACGATTCCCTTGTGGCCTAAACTTTTTTCGTTGTGAGAATTGATT